AAGCCTCGGGTTCTGCCATCCTTGCTTGCTACCGGAGCTGACATCAGGGAACCAAAAACCTTTAAAGAAGCCTGTCAATTCTCTGAATGGCGTTCTGCAATGGTGGATGAGTTCTCGGCTTTGCTAAAGAATAACACTTGGTCTCTTGTGCCTCGTCCTTCAACTGTCAATGTGGTTGGCTCCAAGTGGGTTTATCGTATAAAACAAAAGGATGATGGTTCTATTGAGCGCTTCAAAGCTCGCCTCGTTGCTCAAGGGTTTACACAACAACAAGGTATTGATTATGATGATACTTTCAGTCTTGTGGTCAAGCCTGTTACCATTCAAACTGTTTTGGCATTAGCTGTGATGTATTCTTGGCCTATTCATCAACTTGATGTGAACAATGCCTTTCTTCATGGGCGGCTTTTTGAGGTTGTATATATGTCTCAGCCTTCGGGGTTTATTGATCCACAATATCCTAGTTATGTTTGTCGGTTGAATCGTGCTCTTTATGGCTTGAAGCAGGCGCCTCATGCTTGGTTTCAAAGGTTTGCATCTTTTCTGTTTACTCGAGGTTTTTCTCAAGCTCGCTCCGACAGTTCTATGTTTCTTTATCATTCTAATGGTGCTATGGCTATTCTTTTACTTTATGTGGATGATATTGTGCTCACGGCTTCCACTATAGTGCTGCTTCATGACATTATTTCTTTGTTGAAACGTGAGTTCTTGATGATTGATTTGGGGCAGCTTAATTATGTTTTGGGTATCAGTGTTAGTTTCAATTTCGATGGATTATTTCTTTCTCAGTCGAAGTATACTCATGAGCTACTTGAAAGAAGTGGCATGCTTGATTGTAAGCCAGTGGTAACACCTATGGAACCTAAGGCCAAATTGTTTTCTACTGATGGTCCAACTTACTCTGATTCGGCATTCTATCGTAGTATTGTGGGTGCCCTACAGTATTTAACATTTACACGCCCAGATATTGCTTTTGTTGTTGGCCAGGTTTGTCAGCATATGCATGCTCCTACTCACAATCACTTCACTGCTGTCAAACGGATATTATGCTATTTGAAAGGTACTCTGAATTATGGTCTTCAATTATTTCGTAATTCCTCTCTTTCTCTACATATGTTTACGGATGCAAATTGGGCTGGGTGTGTTGATACTAGAAGATTTATTTCTGGTTATTGTTTGTTTCTTGGTAATTCTTTGATTTCTTGGTCTTCCAAGAAGCAAAACACTGTCGCTCGGTCCAGTGCTGAAGCTGAATATCGTGCTATAGCCAATGCTGTTGCTGAGGTTCTTTGGGTTCGTCAACTGCTTTCTGAGCTACATGTTTTCCTTCATTCTCCTCCTATGGTTTATTGTGATAATATCAGTTCCATTTACATGTCTCTCAATCCAGTTCAACATCAACGGACGAAGCATATTGAGATTGATATTCACTTTGTTAGAGAGCGTGTTGCTTCTGGTATTATTTGCATTCAGTATGTTCCTTCTTCTACCCAACGTGCTGATGTCCTCACCAAGGCTCTCTCTTTTGCTCTTTTCCGATCTCGAAGGTCCAATTTGAGCGTTCTTTGCTCTCCCGCTCAAATTGTGGGGGGATGATAATGTATATCATAATACACGTGTATATCATATAGGGTTAGAAGTGTAAATATACTTCTATACATCTTGTATATATACCCTGATTATAACCTAATAAAGATTGATTCAGCCTCAATATTCTTTAAAATTAGTGTTGGGCGCTGTTAGGGATTATGTTTTAGGCAGATAGAGAATAATATGTAACTTGTATGTGGCCATGAATACCCTTGTACTCTAACTATTTGCACCATAAATCACAAATTTATTTGATGGTGTCACATGTCATGTGATTTAAACAAGTGGTTATGATGAAGTCACGTCAGACTTAATGTTGCTGTGATCTGGAGCATGACAAACCTTATTGATGTTACCACATATGCGACTAAATCTAGTGTTTTTTTGCAGTTACTCCTATTTATTTGGTGGTATTTAACATTAGTGGAGATCATGGCTAAATTTTAGGAGAAGTTACAGACCAAGTTCAACAAGTGGATGAGGTGGCAAATAGGTGCATACACACAACTCAAAAAATTCAACTTTTTAATTTCAAAGCTACTATTCACAAAACTCATAGATCTTAATTTTAGCACAACTTCTAGTTAGATTTATGTTAATTCCAACTTCTATAGCAATCTATTTTTTTATTTAGTAATTTTGAGATAAGTTTCATTTCCTCATATGTCAAACTTATATGGGTTTCAAGCTTGTCATTCATGTTCATGTTAATTCCAATCTCGTTTGCCTAAATATTATGATTACTTAGCTTTATTCTAGCTTCAAGCCCATTTAATTTTCTAGTTTTACAACAATTTTGTCTAATCTGTTAGTAGTTCAATAATCAAATTTGTTAGTAAATTTGGATGTAGACTCATTCATTTCACTTGTTTCATTTATTGTGGATCTTTAAACTTTTAGTTAACAATAGTGTTTTAAAGTTCTTAGAGCTGTCCAAAGCAAATCAATAACCAATTCTACAAGAAGGTATCTCTTCCTCTTACAAATTGTGTGAAGGCATAGAACTCAACTTTAAACTAATGTTCTTTCAACCATTTAAATGGAGGTCAAATGCAAGCAAGAAGAGGGTCATTAAGAAATCCTTCTTGCTTGCTTTATAGAAAAGCAAGTGGCATAGCTACATTCAGATCTACTACATATGTTGAGACTCGAGGATTTTTGAGGAAATACTAACATATCACTAAATAGGTTTTTTTCCTTTCAAAAAGAATGAAAAAAAAAAAATCGTGAGCTATTTATGTATACTTTGTTTAGAATAAAAAATTATATTATATATTTATTAATTAAATTTTTATATAATAATTTATAAACTTAATAAAGTTGAAAAAAGTAATTTAAATAAGTTATATATTTTGAACTTTTTAGAACCACTAGTAAAAATGGTCAAATGGAGTTTATCATTGTTTTTTTTTTATTGTCGGATTTAATATAATGCTTTTGTTTAAAGTTTTGGTACCACAATATTATTGAAAAATGTTGTACCCAAAAAAGTATTATTGAAAAATGTACAAAAATTTATGGTTGAAGAATTGGTCATTGAAACAAATTAGAATTAATGGAACAAAGCTCGAATTCAAGCTAAATATTCCTTCTCTTAAGTACTCTAGCACATGCTTGAGCTTGTGAGTAAGTTTGAACTTGCTTGAATACTTATAAACTTAAGCACCAGCTTAACTATTTTGAACTCAATAAATACTCAAGCTCAAAATTTTAAAGTGAGATTAAACACAATTACCTGCCAATCAACTTGTTAATAGATTTGTCTGTAATATTATATGCACCAATTTATTTAATAACATATGAAAGTTGCAAATAAAAATTGCACAAATAAGGTGTTGTATATCATTACCATTTAGTTTAATTCTTTTGATAAAAATCATAGATATATATATAAATATTTTATATATTTATGGTTCATGCACCTCAAAACTAATCCCTCTCTATGAGATATTAAGGGTGCACCTTCCCATATTAACTCAATACATTTAAGAAAATTAATTTTTTAAAGTACATTTAGTAAAAAATCATAGATTTTATTAATAACTAAATACGTACTTCCTTCATCTATGACAAGTGCCTTATTATAGGCTAGGAAGCAACTATTTATAATACTAGCATTAGAGATGTGCCCTATTTGAGTGGGTTAATTGAGTTTTGAGAGCCTTCTACACTATTAATCATCATAGGAATATTGAAATGGTAACAAAAGAGCTACCCTATTCAGCGTTCATAATCTCTAAATAACTATACTTGCAACACCAAAAGTTAAGGGAGAGCAATTAAACCCACAACTGATAGTCACCATCCACCACTTGCAGTACAAAGGTTATCGTTTGAGAGCCCTCTAATTCCCTATAGCAACCCAACCATCTCTTGCAGATAAACAAAACAAGAGCCACTGATGACGACGCCTGTCCAAACTCCAAGGAAACTAAATATCAATCGCAAGATTTACAAAAATCATCCAAGATGTGGTGGCCTTTTAGAGAATCCTATTTCTACCAACCCGATATATCTAGGTTTTGCTCATTGAAAACCAAGAACCAACAACCATTCAGTTTACCCCATAACTTCCATCCAAGTAAACTTCATGATTTCCACCTTCAAATCCCTATGCATCAAAACCCCAAATCTTCGCGCATCAAAATCCAAAGCCACCAGCCAACTCCAAAACCAGTGACCTTCTAAAAGTGCATAGGGTTGTTGATATATCCAATTCAAACTAATTGATTCGACCAAAACTAACCTAATATAATTAAAATTTAATTTAAATTGATATCAATTTATGTTGGTTTGGATTATTAAATTTTAAAATTAATATAAATGATTTGGTTTATAATTTTACTTTTAAATTGACCAAATTGCTAATTACAAAATAACTTAATTAAATACTTTTTATTTTTACGGTAAATATAATTTTAAATTTTTTTTATAAAATAAAAATATAATATATATTTATAATTTTTTTGTTTACAAATTATATTTTAAATTAATTTTCATCTCCTTGTTTTGCTTTCTTTATTTATTTAGTATAATATTTTTTTTTATGATTTATAATATAATATTAATCATATTAGCTATTATTATTTTATTTTATTTTATTATTATAATTATACAACATAACTTAATTTACTTAATTAAAAAATAGTATAGCCTTAAATCATCCCTTATATAAACAAAAACTCTACTCTTAAAATTTTCTACTTTTTTAAGCAGTAACATTCAAGAGCTTCATGTCTTGAGTGCTTTATTAGTTTTTACATTTATTTCTTGGCTGTGTTCTTAGTTTTTATTTTAATTTAATAGTTGGTACTATTATTTTGTTATCTATAATATTATTGTGCTTTAACAATTTTTTTTTGTAGTTTAATGCTATGATTTTTTACCTAATCAGATATATTTAAAATAGTATTAAAATTGACTAATCTAACTAAACCATACTAATCCGCTTTAAATTCAATTAATTCAATTATAATATAATAATGAATTGGATTGATTTGAAAATTTTACTAACACTAGCCACCAAATCCTCTAGTTAACATGCAATTAGACTTGGCAATTTTTTATCCGTCCATTAAAAATGGGTTAGGGTACGATATTTATGACTCATGACCTGTTAAGAGAACTCGATAGGTCAATAACAAGTTGACTCACTGGGTTAACAGGCTTGACCCATTTACCCATTTGAAATTAAAAAAATTTTTAATTTATTATTTATTTATTTTGTTTTCCAATTCTCAATCCCACCTAAACCTCTAATAATTCACTAATTCTCCCTAATTAGCTAATTGATTCTCTTAGCTCATCATCTTCTAGAAGCAAAAATAATCCTACTCCACTCACGACTCACCTCTTGATCTTTCCTATTCTTACTTGCTCTACTACTCTCTAAAACTCTAACTCTTCAAAGTTCAAACTCTTCTCATGTTCTTCAATCTCCATAGTCTATACAGCCCTTCAACTTTCAAGCTCCAACTCCACCTTTTCTCTTTAGTATTTAACATCATCTCAAACTTAGATCTCAATTTCATCGAGTTATCGTTGCGTTGACTCAACCTTTTCTTTCTTTCTCCTTAGAGTCCAACAAGTGCTCTCTTTGTCACCAACTTTTCTCTCTAAAGCCTTCAAGGTAAATTGTTTAATTGTTTATGTTTTTTAGTTTCTTTCCATTCCAAGTAAAAATTCTACTTGATCTTCTCCTTTGCTTACTTAAATGCATTCAATTGATTGATTCTTTGAAAGTAATGACCAAAGCAAATATGTTCCAATGTGGTTTGTGTTTTTTGGTTGTCATGCCACTATTGCTTTTCTTTTCTTTTTTTTTTCTTTTTTTTTTGTGCTATTGAGATTTATAAGTGTGTGGTGTTCTCGAAATTGATGAGCATTGTGAAGGGAATTGAAGAAGGTGATTCTAAAGAACCATAAAAATGTTTTATTAACTTAATGAGAAAAAAAATCTTTTTATAAAATGTTGAATTTCATTTTTAAATCTTTTGAATAATTTTCTTTGGATAGTAATAGGTATAAATTATAAAAAAAAGGGAAAAAAATTCAATTAGGTCAACCTGTGGGTTGACTCGTGACACGTGATAGGCGGGTTAGGGTTAACCTTCATTGACTCTTAACCCGTTTTAACCCAACCCGTTTTGACCCGTGACCCATTCTAACCCAACCTCAACTTAGCCCGACTGGGCTGTTTGTCAGGTTTACATGCAATTCAATTACTAGTCTGTAGAAAAAGTTTTATGGTTTTCTTTTTTTAAATTCTTTTATATAATCAACAAGGATTAAAAAAATAAAAATATCTTAGCCATTAAAATACCATAAATAATAATAAAAAGATTATAATACCCTTAATGAATTAATACAAAAAAAATCATTAAAAATATTTAAACAATTTCTTAAAGAGTTCTGACATGACATTTAAAGTATTAGGATATTATGATTTTCACCTTTTTCAATCAACAATAGGTAAGAAAGATAGGTCTCCAATGAAGTGATTTAACTGGTTAAGAGTCTTGAAATTTTACGTGAAAAATCTTAAATTTAAACATTGAGTTGAGTGGGGGGGAAACTTGAGAAAATGGAAGAGTATCCTTTTTTATATATCCCATAATCAAATATACAAAAAAAAAAAAAAAGTAAGAAAGAGAATGAAAGAAATCAAGAAAAGAAAGGAAAAATCTTCAAAAGAGAGATCTTGAAGGCAGAAATTCACATGACAGGAGAAAATCCGAACATAATTCTAAGGGTGATGATTATCATTTTTTTAATAATAATAAAATGAAGATAGAACAAGCCACAACTCCAAAACTAATTAGTTTGGAGTTGCATGATTACCATTTAGTTTAATTTAATTCCAAAGAAATAATAAAACAAATTGGAAGCAAAAAAAAAAAAAAAAAATTATCAAAGGGCACAACAGAAATCCAGTCATTTTATCGGGATAAAGATAAGTTAAAAGTACACATTCAAGATACATTATATTATCTTTTAAAACTCGCACACAAAACGAACACTGAAACTGCAAATAACTACTAAACATAAAGTCTTAAATTTTCAATGACACAAATTGCAAATAGGGACTAGTTATCTTTTAAAACTCGCACACAAAACGATCACCTATAAGCGATAAGATCTCGAGAAGTTGTCTTCCTTTTATTTGTTTATTATTCGGGGCCTCTTAAGTTCTTTTCTGATAGTTGATAGTTGGTAGCTCAAGATTTTTATTCTGTTTTGCTATAATTTCGCTGTAATAGAAAAAAGGGAAAAAAAATGAAAACACTGTTAGTAATCCAATCAAAACGGCGAAAAGAAAAAGAAAAAAAAAATCTAGCAAACAAGTAGTTACACTCTTTATTTATTCACTCAGTTAGGATGGTTTAAAATTAAGCAATTTTCTAAAGAGAATGTTGTGGTGCAATTCGTTTTGTGTAGATTATATTGCTTTTAATCAATAATGAAGGGATAAATCCTTGTAAAAATTGAATATGTGAGTTTTGATACAAGACTTACATCAAATTTAAAATCAATTACTTCCCTTGCATTTAATTCACATGTCCTCTTATAATATTTTTTCAATGTGAGATTTTTCCACTAAAAAGGCTCTCCTCACGTACGGTCTCAATATTGATCTTAGGTTACAGACTTAAGAAAGCCTCATCACGTCCAAGTTCAATTTGTCATGTGAATCTTGGGTTAGCAAATAGGCTTGATATGCCCTCTACTCATAAAGGCTCAAACTGTCACAAGATCTCAAGTTTCCTAAGAACAAAGCTTTGGGTTTTAATATTATGCGAAAATTAAATATGTGAGTTTTATCACAAAACATACATTCAATTAATATAAAATCAATTAACAATAAGTGAAATAATCTTCTTTATATTTAACTCATATCTTTTTAATATTTTTTTAATATGAAATTTTTTCACTTAATAGTTCTCAATATTGAGGATTTGCCCCTATCAATGATTAGGTGAGTACAATTTGCATACTACAGATTGTACTTCACTTTTTTCGTCTTCTAAATACTCTGTTTTATAAGGCTACTTTTTTAGTCTTTGTATAGAATTAATTATTTGATTATTGAGTTCCTTATTTTGTAGTCTAAACTGCATTGAATTGTTAAATAAGTGGTGTGGATTGCAAAATAAGCATCATCGAATGAAAGTGGGGACTCCCAATATTAAGGGACCTACCCCTCATCAAACAATTTTTGTTGTACAACTTAGTACAATTTAGATTGTATAACAATTTTTCTTTAATTACTGGCCCTAAAACCGCGCCATGTATAGTTCATTTGTATCTCATATTTTTAATAATTGTTGAACATAATAATATTAATTCATAATTGAAATTAATTTTTAATTAATAAATATAAAACTAACCGTAAGGCCTGCGTGAGGAGAGTTGCTTTGACAAAGTCGTTCGTTTGTCTTGCCTTGAGGATTTGAAGCATAAGTGCTAAACGGATTCTGGTGTTGTTACTCTGCTGTATTACCAGCTTAGTCTCTCTGCGGAGCTCCTGGCATTTTGATTCCACAGCTTCTAGTTTTTCTCGCACTTTTTTTTGTCCCTTTCTTATACTTTTTTGTTCCTTACCAATTTCTTTCATCTCTTCCCTCAACTTTTTGATTTGGCGGTTTAATCGGGGCATTGTCTTTCACCTCTTCTGCGAAAAAAACCAAATATATAGCTTTATAGTGTTAGAAATTAATGTATAGTTTAGGCATCACATGACAACTTATATTTATAAATTTTTAAACGAAACAGTTTCTTAAATTAAAATGATATTAGAGCCTCTTGATCTAGTGATTTGGTATTTGAAACTCTGGTTTTGCCACAACATGTACACCTTGGTGTTCCTTTTTTTTTTTTTTTTTGGGTTATCGTCAACATGTACACCCTTGTCAAGATCATCCTGTGAAATAAGCCCAAGTTGACCCGCAGTTTAACTACTTAAGTACCTTGTGAATCAGTTCTTAGCTTTTTTTTTAGTTTGTTTGTTTTGATAACATAGACATGTGAATTTTTCATATATAACTAATTTCACAAGGATGTATTTGTAAATCACTTTATTTATAAACACTAGGAAACATATCGCATTAAAATTGTTTGTACTCACAATAAAAGGATCTGAACATGCATTCTTAGACATATTTAGCATCTATCCTTGCCGCTTATGCCAAAGCAAACCCCAACAGGTTTAGTTCTATAACATTTAAGAATATTAACAAACTTAACGAGCATAAGTAGGTGAACTTGTAGCTTAGTTTTTAAGATGCATTTTGATACTGTTAGCCATATGATAGAATCGCGGTGAAATAGTTTGGAAGGTTATGCCTATAGTATGTATTATAATGCAATTTACATACGTAAGTGATGAGCATCCAATGCACTCCAATGAATAAATTGCTGTTAAAAAAACAAAAAAAGGTTAAGATGCATGTTTCTTAGGCTAGTGTGTCAGAAGTTCAAATCTATATACATATGTTAAAATCAATCTACACTAAATGAAAGTTCTGGGCTTGATTTTTGCCACGTATATAAATGTTAAACTCCCACAAGCACTATTGTTGTGTTTGGTTAAATTTTTAAGAACGGTTAATACCTCTAACTATTAATTTATATAGTAATTTATTAAAGTAATAAATATTTATTTCTTAATAGTTTTAAATTAATTTATATATTGATGTTTTCAAACACTCTAAATAATTATAAACTAATAAAATTAAGGGTAATGATATAGAGATAATTTTTTATATAATATTTTTATATAATTTTTATATAT